ATAAAATGGCCAAACAAAGGATGGTTATATCCCTTGGAAGAAGAGCATTCCCTTCAGAACTATAGACTTCTAATGCACCGTCCTAAGTTTTCTCATCCACTTATTTCAGTCAGTGTTGCAATGATCTCAACTGACTTCAGTGGCTACCACGTGAAAGCACTGTACATTCATCCTGCTCCATCTCACCTTGGCTTTTGCTTTGATACATCTCTGGCTCCATAGAGCAGAATGTCATGGGGAATCTCCTCAGCACTCAAACATTAAAATCTACCATCCATTTTCTATGAACTGTTGTACAGAATGTGAAACGTGAAAATCCAATTTTTCCAGCACCGAATATTAAAGAGACTACTGTACCAGCTTTCCACCAGTACAATGAAATATCTAGCACAGTCAACTTATAAACAGATTCATTTAGCTCACAGTTTGAGGAGTTCTAATGGCAAATGGCCTAGTGCAGCCTTGGCCAGGTCAGCCCTGGCATGATCACCTCATGGTGTGGGATAGGGATGGCAGAGCACATGCAGAGAAAGGATCACATCTCAAACTACAATGGATATTCCATGATCCTTTTCAAATCATCCACAATGACCTAAGGACTTTCTACAAGTTTCTGCCACTTAACCATAGCAACTCCTAAACTGCAATACTTAGTCTAGGCCTTTATATATGAGCCCTTGGCAGACAGCCAACATCAAAACATGGTAAATTAGCACAGGAAAAGATTAACAGCAATATCTAATCATAAGTTAGAATACTTAAAGCATATAGTATAATAAATTGTCTTAATGGTCTGTATTTCTTGCTAATATCTTTAGTTTGTAGTTGTATATGGACAAAATACCTTTATTTTATCTATCTTTTTATCTGGTGCTGAGGATCAAACCCAGTGCCTCACATGTACTAAGGCGAGCGCTCCACCACTGAGACACAACCTCAGTCCCTCCCCCTAAAATCTTACTGTACTATATTCATTCTTCTTCGTGTCATACTGTATCATGATAAAATTCCTACAGGGTGAGATGAAATGAGGTAAATGACCTAGACTTTTTTATGTAGCAAGTGCTACATAATATAATGCTCACTTGAAGGTTCACTTGAACCTTACCAAGTAAATTTCATTATGTGAGGTTTACTTATTGCACAGCAATGCAAAAAAGGGCAATCTGATGCCACTTGTATAAACTGCTGTACTATCAAGATATTTCAAATTATTCACAGTCTATTACTTGATTTATTTTTATGGATTATCCAACTATTTTTCTTCAAGTCCCCAATGTAGGCTCCAACAGCACAGGATTCCTGACCAGTCCCTAAATGGGCAATGATTCATCATACATCCCTGGGCTCTCAATCCCCACCTTTCCCCAAAGTATAGTCAGGTGTGATCAGTGACTGTAATCAGTCACCATCCAGGACTCTGATAATTTGTCTTGAAGAGGTCCTGGATAATTACATTGTGCCTAATGAGTTAGACCCAAATCTGGACTCCCCTGGGATGCAGAGCCTCTCGGGCTCGTGGATGGCTAGAAGGTGAGACATGAGAAGGGATGGCAGACACGTGATGCCTACAGAGGACGTTACTTCATATTCTTGTAATGAATAAAGGGGAGCAAGATCTTGTGTCAGGGCCCCAGAGTCACCCTCAGACACCCTGGGTAAGTTGTCAATATGCCAGGTTACATGATGTTCTGCCAGCTAAGTTTTCAGGTGTGACAACTTCCCTCTTTTCCATCGAGCTGCCTTCCAAGACTTTGCCACAGTATTGAAATATTTTGACCAAAGTTCAACACTTATAACACTTTTTATTAATAACACTGCTCATTAATGTTACTTACTGTGCAGTGAATCCTCATAGGTCACAGCATTTTGACATACGAGGCCTGTAAGATAGGGTTCAGTGCAGTAACAGTTCTTAACCTTTCTTTATTTTACATTCACCTAAAGAGCTTTAAAAAGCTTTGCACAAGCCACTTCATAAAGATTCCAATTAAGTTATCTCAAGGTGCTCAGTAATCTGAGTTAAACGGCAATGTGTGTATTTGCTACTCAAGTGCAGCCCAGTGATCACAGTATTGACACCACTACTTGGGTGTTCATTTAAACTGTATAGTCTGAGCTACAGAACCGGAACGAATATCTTAATGGCAGGTAATTTTCATGTGCATTGAGCTTAGAAACACTGCTCTACATGATTCTTGTGTGCATCCTGGAGTGAGGATATTGAATTTAATGGCTGAAGAAGAGGAAGCTCACTGGATCATCTGTGAAAACGTCTGCAGCTGCTATCTCTGGTTTTGTGATCCTTGCACAGCTTCTTGACACAAAGATAGTCCTGCAAACTCAAAGGGTAAGCAAAAGTCTGAGAAAACAGGTACATGATTTTCTCCTCATGTTTCTTCCCTTTATGATGCCAACACATGGTGTCCAAAGGTACAAACTGTTAATGCAGTTCTGTTAAACATCAGCAGTGGGGTGAACTTCCCAGCAGTAGGACTCATTTATATCATTTAGTGAATGAGTTTCCCACATCTTTTAATGTTCCTCCTCTGCATTTTTGATGACCTGGAGACAGACTGGGTTTTTGTTTGTTTGTTTGGTACTGGGGATTGAACCCAGAGGAGCTCAACCATTGAACCACATCTCCAGACCATTTTTTATGTTTTAGTAGAGACAGGGTCTCTCTGGGTTGCTTAGAGCCTTGCCAAGTTGCAGAGGCTGGCTTTGAACCCATGATCCTTCTGACTCAGCCTCCCAAGCCACGGAAATTGCACAGATGTGCAACCCTGCCCAACCATACTGAGCTTTATCAACCAAGGTTACCCAAAGAAAGCAGTGTGTGTGTGTGTGTGTGTGTGTGTGTGTGTGTGTGTGAGAGAGAGAGAGAGAGAGAGAGAGAGAGAGAGATTGATTTTAAGGGTATAGCCCACATAGTACTGAGGATTCTTAATTCAGAAATCTGCAGGGCAGTCCTGCCTACTGGAGTCCCTGGAAGAATAGATGGTACAGCATTGAGACCACAGCATGTTGGAGGTAGAATTCCTCCTCTTCAGAAGAGTGAAGTCTTTTCTCTTATGACCTTCTACTGACAGTAGCAAGGCTCATCATATTTTGGGGGGCAATCTACTTCACTCAAAGTCTACTGATTTAAACTTCTATATATTATAAAATACCTTCATACCAACATTCAGAACTGGTATTTTACAAAAGTCTGACAACAGAACCTACACATGTTGACACATAAAACTAATCATCACATGTGATATTGACATCTGAGGAGGAACTCAAGTGAGACCTTAAAAAATGCAAATTTCTTCTGCTTTCCCACACTTTATAAAATGCTCATCATATCAATGAATTTGTGTGGATCAATGCCTAAAGATGTTTTAAGTCATTGGTGTGACTGAAAAGTACAGTGCTTCCAACATACCCTAATTTTTTTTATAAATACAAAACTATATGTGTGAAGTTGGTGATAGAGTGTCGAAATTTAGTGCTATATGGTGAAATCTAGTAAGTTTGTATTCTGGGAGGATTTAAGAACTGTAATTATTTTACCTAATGGGAGTTTTCTGCCTTTTAAGTTGAAGGAATTTTTCTCATCCTGAAGGACAGCCAACAAATATGGATGAAGCATTGGCCACATCAGGCACCCTGCCAGGGGCTGCCCTGCTGCAGGCAAGAGGCAGACATGGCCTTTCCTGTGTGGAGTTCACAACCTGGTGGGAAGTCAGCCATCTACCTGTGATCAGGACATTCACTGCTATGGGATGAGAACAGGAGGCTGTGCAGACAGCAACAGAACTCACGGAGGGTGGGGACACAGGGAGGTTTAGTTTTGCAAGTATCATAAACATCCCTGAATGATAAATCAAAATAAGACAACTGAAAGAGGAAGCAGAGGGGAGAAAGTGATAGATTGGAGGAACACCAAGTATGAAATTCTAGAGGCAATAAATTTTGATTTACAGTCCAGCAGCACTAGAGAATGGAAGGCTTGTGTCACTTGGGTGCAAGATGAGACCATGGAGGGAGACACAGCTCAGGTAATGAAGCACCATTTGTACCCTTCAAAGACACTTCACCTTTATCTTAAGAGCAATGAGAATATCCTGAAGCATGAATCAGGAGAGATGACCTGATTTCCATCTCAGAATGACACAGTGTGAATGAATCATATTGAATGAGAAGGTATTTAAGGTGTGGGAAACAGGGAACTGACTTGAGTCTCACCTGGACTACTAGGAATGTGATTTTTGTGATGAGGAGTGGATGAAGTAGCAGAGGAATGAAATGTAGAATATATGGGATGTGATAGATATGACTGGATTTGATGGTGACAGGGAAGAATGGAAGAAAAAAAGTTCATACTTTGGCAATTGGATCCTGCCTTCCTTTATTGGAACGAATGTGGAAGAGGAGGAGAGTAGTATGGATGCAACACACTATGCTGAATTTCATTAGGAACCTGTTGAGCTGAAGACACCTGTGATACATCCAAGGGAAGAGGACCGTCAAGCAGTGGCATGCAGAGTTCTGTGGGTGAGAGAGACGTCTCTGCCCGAGTTTAAATACTAATCTAAGTATTTGGCATATGGTGAGATTTCCTTGGGGTTCTATATAGAATTATAAGATAATGGGATTTACAAAAATATTTGAGGAACATTACCCTATAAGATATTATAAAGCAGAAACTGATTACAGTTGCTAAGAATGATCGACCAGTCAGGCAGGGAAGAGAAAATCCAACACTCCTTTTGTGACAGAAGCAAACAGATAAGTATTTAGGAAAGAATGGGCTACTGAAACATGTTGAAAAGAAGATGAGAAAAGTAATAAATGATCATAGAGATTAAAGACACTTGAAGGTTATACTTATTGTGATGGTGGTGGGATCAACTATTGTAGAACATGTAAACACTGTGTATGAGTAAAACATGATCATTTTCACTTGGGTTTTTAAAGGGCCTTATTATTTCTCTTAAAGGTATTGGAGACAGATGATAATGGGAAAAAACCAAACTCTCATCTCAGAGTTCCTCCTCCTGGGCCTGCCCATCCAGCCAGAGCACCAGAACCTCTTCTATGCCCTGTTCCTGGCCATGTATCTTACCACCGTCCTGGGGAACCTCATCATCATCACCCTCATCCACCTGGACTCCCATCTGCACACTCCCATGTATTTGTTTCTCAGCAACTTGTCCTTCTCTGACCTCTGCTTTTCCTCTGTCACCATGCCCAAATTGCTACAGAACATGCAGAGTGAAGTCCCCTCCATCCCCTATGCAGGCTGCCTGACACAAATATACTTCTTCCTGTTTTTTGGAGACCTTGGGAACTTCATCCTTGTGGCCATGGCCTATGACCGCTATGTGGCCATCTGCTTCCCCCTGCACTACACCACCATCATGAGCCCCAAGCTCTGTCTCTCCCTGGTGGTGCTGTCCTGGGTGCAGACCACGTTCTATTCCTTGTTGCACACCCTGCTAGTTAACAGATTATCCTTCTGTGCAGACAATGTGATCCCGCACTTTTTCTGTGAAATATCCGCCCTGCTCAAGCTGGCCTGCTCTGACACTCAAGTAAATGAGTGGGTGCTATTTATTATAGGAGGAATTGTTGCTGTCATCCCATTCCTACTCATTCTTGTGTCCTATGCAAAGATAGTGTCCTCCATTCTCAATGTCCCTTCTCCTCGAGGTATCTGTAAGGCCTTCTCCACCTGTGGCTCCCACCTCTCTGTGGTGTCATTGTTCTATGGGACAGTCATTGGTCTGTACTTATGTCCAACAGCTAATAAATCTACTGTGAAAGACACTGTCATGGCTCTGATGTACATGGTGGTGACTCCCATGCTGAACCCCTTCATCTACAGCCTGAGGAACAGAGACATAAAGGGGGCCCTAAGAAGGGCTCTTTTTAGAAAGAAAAATTCCTTCTGTGTGTGAAGGGCTTTTAACATAATTATTAAATTAATATTCTTAGTGATATTAATATTGGAATATTTTCTCAGAATTTTCCCTCACCATGGGAACTTTGGTTGAAGTAGCATAGGATATAACTGTTCAATAGGCAAAAGAAAGGAATTTCAGCAGATCAGTGGACTAGGGAAGGTGGTCTTGTGGGCCTAGCTTTGCTTTCCTCTCTGTCTTTCCCAGCTGATGCTGGAAAAGCCTAGGTAAAACTACATTTTATGAGCTCCCCTGTTCTTACATTCTGAAGTTATTCCTAGATCTTTCAATTTTATCTCAAGTCAGCTTTGACTATGGTATCATTTTAAAATAGTGCTCCATAATCTGAGATTAATACTCAAGAACTTCCCAATAACTCAATCTCCCAGCAATCCTCCAGTGTCTCTTACATAATATTCCTGCACAAATTCTGTCATCATTCCACCTCCTAACTTTCCTACACCCTTTTTTTAATTTTTATGTCTACATTGTCTTTTATTCTCTATTATGTCAATAAATTTTTCTAACCTTCTGTTCAATAGTGTCATTGAAAAATTTTGTGTTCACTTGTAGTTAACTAATCCAGGAACCCTAGAATTTATTGACCCAGCATGGGGCAAAAAAAGTTAAAGGTCATGGGAAATTTTCTGTTTTTAAAGTTGCCTCTCTTTTGTGTAATATTTTGACTTTGCAGAAGGTCCTTGTATGTTTTTATTGTACCCCCATGACAATTGGAAGGAAGTAGAGAAGCTATTATGACTTATTTTCAGACTAAAATCTAGGAAGTTCAACAACTTTTCATGCCATCCAGTGGGTCATTTTTTAAGTCTGTGTAAGATCAGAGACTGAAAAGTCTTTTCATTTTCTCCCACTTCCAAATGAAGGGGAGTAACCATTCTTTTCTAAAATTTTAGCACCACCAAGACATGGACTGTTTCTGACCTTGGTCCATTCATTTATTTAATCATCCTCTCTAACGGATGATATTCAGATCCATTCCTTTCGTATAGTCTACTGATCTCACTACTTTATCTGAAGGCCAGATCTTTCTTCCAAGCTCTCAGCTCTCCTTTTTTTTTTTTTAAGCTTTACGTGCTATTTTTTTTATTTATTCATTTTTAAATTTACTCTTTTTAGATATACATGATAGTACTGTGTATTTTTTATATATAAACTTTTTAAAAGCTTATTTATTTTTGAGAGAGAGAGAGAGAGAGAGAGAGAGAGAGAGAGAGAGAATGAATCTTTTTTGTAGATGGACACAACACAATGCCTTTATTTTTATGTGGTGCTGAGAATCGAACCTGGGTCCCGCCTGTGCTAGGCGAGTCCTCTACCACTGAGCCACAATCCCAGCCCAGTACTGTGTATTTTGACTTATTATACATTCATGGAGCATATCTTAGTCTAATTAGGATCCCGTTCCTGTGGTTGTACCTGATATAGAGTTTCACCTGAGTATTCATATATGAACATAGGAAAGATATGTCCAGTTCATTACACCGTCTTTCCTGATGCTATTTCCACTCCTTTCCCTTCATTCCCCTTTGTCTAATACACTAAACTGCTATTCTCTCTCTCCTTATTGTGTGCTAGCATCCACATATCAGAGAGAACATTCGACTTCTGGTTTTGGGGGGATTGGCTTATTTCTCTTAGCATGATAATCTTCAGATCCATTCATTTACTGCCAAATGTCTTAAAGTCTCCTGGGCCCATCTCTGGCTCTGGGGACCACCTGACTCACAGAAGAAACTATACTTTGCAGGTGCTGTTGGGCACCCAGATGTCTTTAGCTCCACTGATGCTTGAAAACAGCTGCAGAAAAACTTAAGATAAAAGGTCTTAGGTGAAGTTTCTGTCTATGCTAATGAATGTCAAATGGTGTTTTTTTTAATTATTTTTTAATTGTTGATAGCTCTTTATTTATTTATTTATATGTGGTGCTGAGAATCGAACCCAGTGCCTCACACATGCCAAGCAAGTGCACTACCACTGAGCCACAGCCACAACCCCTTAAATGGTGGTTGTTGGAAAATATATGGTTCTGTTTTTTGGACATAGTCTTGATACCCAAGCTTTCTCTCCTCTTCTAGCATCTCATACAACGATGTCATGACCCACATGTGAAACCTTAGCCCCAGTGAACCCATAGCCAGCTAGTGGCAAAGCTGAGTCTAGAACTCACAGCCCAGGGTTCTGTCCTCTGCACCAGCTGTGTGACTGATAGAGAAAGTGGCTGGACCTTCCAGGTTTGGGGGAAGCCATGTTGGGAGGTGCCAGCACCTGGTGGGTCCTTGGTCTCTGCTATTTTTCTTCAAGAGGGCTCTTCTCTTGGATTGGTCAGTGAGGACTCCGGGATTTGACATGAAGCTTGAGCAAAGAGAATGGAGAGGAAAAGGGATTCCAGGGAACTGTTCTTCAGTGACCTCTGCTCTTCAGCTCCAGTCTGTAAAGTGGCAGAGACCAGGGCACAGATGCAGTTCACCACCCTCAGCTTCCTTGCTGCAAATTAAGACAGAAGGTGGTAAGAGAAAACTCTCTCATTTCTCTCTTCATAGAGCCAGTCCTCCCCTTGTGTTGCCTGGGGAATGAGGGGGGAGTGTTGGTTTCATTGCTGGTCCTGATCCAGTGGTGCCTCTCTGCACATCTGCAGGGGCTCTGTGGCTGGTTCCAGAGACTCTGATGGTTCTCTGAATTTGGATTGTGAATTTGGTGGGTCATGGTTATGGTGTCTCCCCTCAATAATTAATGGTTCACTTTGACATGCCCTGTTTATGAGAACTACAGTAAAGTTCCAGAGAGAAAATACAAGACAGTGATAGCACCTAAGAACAATGATCAGAGAAGGGAACTTTCAGTCTCCATTTCTCCAGATAGAGATGATGCCTCCTGGGAGTCAGAGTCTGGAGAAACTTATAGAAGTTGTCTTTAATTTTAGACCAGACCCATGGCTGAGTCATTCTCAGAACTGATACTGTTCCTTGCATGAGAACCATGCAGGGAAGCCTTCTTCTCTAACAGTTCAGCTCTAGGGTGGATAAAAATTACCCAGAAATATTGTTTAAAAAATGCAGATTTCATGAAATTTTCTAGAGGTTATAATTCAACTGATCTGGGTGGTGTTCAGGAATCTGTATTTTAAACAAGCACAGGGGGATTCTGCTGCAGTCTTTCACTGACCCAGGTCACACTATATAAGTATCTCCTATCAGTAGCCTCAGTTTCTAGTCTGTCTTGACTAGTTTGAGGAAATGAAGATACAGTGGTGAGCAAGCCAGAAAGGGAGCTTATTCCCAGAGGGCAGGGTGAAGGCAGTGGAGAAAATAAACATCAACAAGATAACCTTAGCAAGTAGAGAATGCCATGAAATTAACAAGCACACAATATGATGGAGAATAACTCGTAGGTGAGGGTGGCTTTCTTATGTTACTTATTTAGTTAGTTTTTTGGTGCTGAGGATTGAACCCAGAGGTGGAATCTCACTAATTTGCTCAGAATCTTGCAAAATTGCTGAGGCTGGCCTTGAACTTGGGATCTTCCTGCCTCAGCCTCCCAAGTTGCTGTGATTATAGTATGCACCATCATGCCTGGTGAGGTAGACTTCTTTAAATGAAGAAGTCAAGAAAGACTTCTCTAGAAGACATTGGAACTGAGACTTTAAAGTTGAGACTTATTAATAATTTAATTGGAACTGTATTATATTTATATTTTAATATTGTTTTAGTTGTCAGTGAACCTTTATTTATGTATATGTGGTGCTGAGAATCAAACCCAGTGTCTCACACATGCTAGGCAAGCTCTCTACCACTAAGACACAATCCAGCCCCTTGTATTTATATTCTGATTTAGAGAGAGTAAGAATTTTTGTGATAATAAATTTTCCCAGCCTGGAACATGGCATATTTTTCCATTTTTTATATCTTATGCATTTTCTTCATAAATTTCTTTTTTAGCTTTCTTTCTATAGGTGTTATGCTTTACTCGTACTTGTTCGGAAGTATTTTACAGTTTTTATTCTTGGTGCTTTGCTGTTGTATTTAAATGTTTTCCCCCATCTCTAGTTTGAGGTTGCTAAAATTGAGAAAATCTATTTCATATATATTTCTTGTATCCAGGTTCCTTTGAGCAAATAATCTACAGATACTTACATAGCCCACCCTCAGTAAATACCAGTTGAATGAGTGAATGTCTTACTGCTAGTATGGGAAACATGATCTGTTCCTGCCTCATGGAAGAGTTCCCATTTGGGGGAAGAGAGGCATATGAGTTCATGGAGAAAATGGGAGGGAGAGGTCCATTTGATACAAAGACAGGAGCTCAAGTTTAGAGTTTGAGAAAATAGGTTTTGAATCTCTATTCTACCACCAAAAAGCTGTGTGGATTATGCAAGATCTCTGAACATTGATTTCTTCACCTGTAGTTGGAGACAATAAATGGTTCCTTCTTGATACAAAATGATGGCTAATCAAGATAAGACAGAGCACTTTGGGTATTGCATCCTGACAGTAAGCTTTCAATACGTGCTCTTTAGTATTTAATAGAGTTTTATGACTGTTTATCTTTGAAATTTAAAAAAAATCCCAGGATGTGTAAATGTATGAGTCTTTTTATCCTTCAAAAATTATGTGCAGAGTTCATAGAACCATTTAGGTTTACAAATGTGTGACCCTTCCATTTCAGTAAAAATTGCTTCTGGCTCTAATATTTTACTTCCTTTGGGGTTTCTCAAATTCTCCGATTGGATCTTGGGTCTCTATTCCCTTTAACTATGATTTATTTTCTCATTATTTTAATTTGTCTCCTTCATCTGAAATTTTGGGAGGAGTCTTACATTTGTATTTTACTGCTAGTATGGGAAACATCATCTGTTCCTGCCTCATGAAAGAGTTCCTGTTTGTGGGGAGAGGGGGCATATGAGTTCATGGGGAAAATGGGAGGGAGGGGTCCATTTGATACAAAATAGACCGTCCTTTCTCAGAGTGTCCATACAGATA